GAGAGATAAAGCAAAGAGAGTAAACATTAGAAAGAAACAGCTTTTATGTGTTGTTCTCATAATAATGAAACCATGTTATCAGTTAATTATTGATTAAAATGGGAATGCAAATGTTCCCTTGCTTCAATATTTGAACGTATATCCCTAAAAAAGATGCTAAATATAGCGTACGATATTGTTTATTTTTAAATAATGACATTGAAAAAGTTTGTTTTATTTAAACTCTTATGTTCTCTTACAGGCATGCACAGATCATCCATGGTCTGACAGTGATGACTGAGAAGCAGCCAAGCAGAAACATAGCTGCACATTAAATTTTGACAACCCCTCTTAGCACTGCAGATGTGGTTAAGGATGCATTGCACACCTGAGTTCCTTTTTACAAAGGGGCTAGCTAAGAAATGCTTTAAGCCCGCAAAGAGACACATGCTGTAATCTATGTTATGTTTTCTTAATATTGTTTTTGAGTGCTTGTTAAACTATAAATTTGCAACAGAACGACTGCTGAGAAAACTGTTTGGGTGTTGTTTGAGTGCATGAGTGTTGTCTTTCACATTATGGTTCAACTGAGATATAAGTAAACTACTAACAAACACAGCTGGTTTCACAAAACGAAAAAACTGTGACATTTTGCTAGGTTGAATTGTGTATATGAATTTGTAAAAATGTGAAAGATCAGTGCAATTTTTTATGTATAAGCTAAACAACTTGGTGCAAGGTTCTTGAATATTTTGGTATTCTAAAATGTGACTGATGTTTGTTTTTCATGAATGCTGGCATTCATATTAAATACTAAAAAGATGTTTATATTTTTTTCATTGAGAATTGATGTATATCTAAAGGCTGGCTTAATTTAAGATCAACTTGACAATAAAAAGAGCAAAAATTAAGACTTGCATCTCCCTTAATTTGTTGGAAAAATAATTATTGTGAAGAGTATTCAAAAAAAATTCCTTATCCTTCCACCACCTGAGAAACAGAAGAATGAAGCTAATAGAACAAATCAAGCATCAGCCTGAGGCTATTACATATCTGCTCAAACCTGTTTAGGAGAGGCTAGAGATCTCTGTTTATACCTGTTAGGAAGCAGGCTTCGAGAAATAATGCCATCAGCTTCTGACATACATGGGCCACACCTCTTAACCTTTGAATTCAGGTGTTTTCAATCCCTTTGCCACAGCTATATAAAATCAGGCACCTAGCCATGTGGTAGACCTTTCCAAACTTCTGTGGAAATAAGAGCTCACCGAATTCCAGCATAGTACTGTAACGGGAGTTGCTCGTGTAGGTATAATGTGCAAGTGGCTCGCTACTTTTGTCCATACAATGTATGCAGCTGCAGGTTGACTTTAGACATGACCTCATGTCAAAGTAACAAAAACTTAGAAACTCTGTTCTAACAGATGAATGCAAGCTGAAGCAATAAAAAGACCTTGGGTCAGCCACACCTTTGTGTTTTACAGCTAACATATAACAACATATTTTAAAAGCTGTACAACCCTGACAATAAAACTGACTTGTTAAAACTACTGCAATTATAGTAGTTTATTATAAATTATAAATAAAGTATGTTTTCATCAGCTTTGCAATAAATAAACAAAGCTTTACATTGACAGTAAAGAATCTGTATACATTTGATAGAGTTTAATATATTTGGAATAAGAAAATATTAAATGGAAATCAACAGTCAATATGATCATTATGAAGTACTATGACTGTCTCAGTATCCTACTAAAAATAATGAACATGTGTGATTTTGTGCTGTGCTCTACAAAAAACGAGAAAAAGATAAATGGAACTGCATGATGAACACAACACAGTTATGAGTGTTGTGTATGACATGAACCACTGAGATCTGATTTAGTGAAACTTGAAGCAAAGTAAGCCCACACATCAGCGTTAATTCTTTGAGTAGTTAGTCATTTCAAAGGCAGCGTTAAGAGATTAAGTTG